TCATCATTGAACTTCACAAAATATTTCACTTGGACCACTTATTCAATTAAATGTCCAGTTTTTTAACTAAAATCCTATGTGTTTGTGTGCGAAGTCAGCAAACTATTAGGATTTTCAATTGAATCCTTCAAGTTGGCACAAAAAGACAAAGAATGTTCACTTAAAAAATAGATTTTAACGAGTTAATGACTTGAATTAAATATTCTATGAAGTTCAATGATGAGTCAGAAACAAACTAAAGTTCGATGGTCAAGATCACACAAAAGTGAAAAGTTCAATTTCCATTAGTACAAATCCGTGAGCAAACTTGAAGGAAATTTCTTATCAAAAATTTTGGTGCAGCGGAATAAATGTGTGATTAGTAAACCACTCTATTTTTATTCTTTACAGTAATATTACTTGCCATCATGATGATTAATTATCATGTTTAGATATAGTTAAATGCTATCGCAACATTTAACCAAATTTATTATCTAGTCGCAATGTATTGCAATATAGGGGGAAAGAATTGGGAGACATCCAAGACCTTTGTCAGTGATGGGGGAATTTAATGCTTGTCCGGACAATTGTGGTCTAGTGGAGATGAGAGAACATGGTAGACATATGTCTTGGTGTAATGGTCGAATTGGTCAAGCTTGGAGTTGGGCAAAGCTAGATAGGGTGGTGGTGAACTCGGCTTTCTTTAATGAACACTATTAATGTAAAATGGAGTTTCTAGCTAGGAAAAGCTCTGATCACTGCCCTATGTTAATTCATTTCACAAGGCCTTCTTTAGGTATGGTCCATTACCTTTTAGATTTCAGAATATGTGGAAAACACATAACACTTTCACACAACTGGTCACTACCGTTTAGAAAGAGCCGAAGCACAAGGTAGGACTTCGGAAGTTGGCTGCTAAATTGAGGGAAAAAAAAGGAAAAACAGTGCTCGCCTTGCAATCTTGGAATAAACAAGTCTTTGGACATGTTACTTATCACATTAAAGAGCTGGAAGAAAAAGTTGAGATGCTAGAAAAGCAGTGGCAAAGTCGCTTTGTTCTGGATTTAGAGGCTAAGTTTCTTACCACTAAGGTCGAGCTACATACTTCATCAGATTGCCCTTGCACTTCGATTAGTCACATAGTTACAAACCCAAACAAACAAGAAAAGCGAAATGGCAAAAAAAAAAAAAAAAAAAAAGGCGTTAAGTTCTAAACTCTTTGTGATGCTTTGGGAGAAAAGGGAAAAACTGAGACTAGCAGCACAAGCAAAGAAGAAATGGCTTATAGATGGAGATCAAAATTTAAAATTCTTTCACTCAGTTGTTAATCAACAGAAAAGGACTTCACAGATCTCTTCCATGCAATTGCCTGATGGAACAGTGTTGGCTTCACCAAAAGAGGTTCACAATAGTGTTGTTAACTATTTTAAACAAATTTTGAGTGACAATGGGCCTACGGAGCAAGGAGACTTGTCCTCATTAACTTTTGAAGTTGTAACAGTGGAGGAGAGTAGTGGAACCAACGGAAAAAGAGGTGAAAGATGCAATTTTTTCCATACCATCAAAGAGTAGTCCTGGGCCAAATGGATTTGGCGCTGGCTTTTATACATCGTGTTGGGACTTAGTAAAGGTGGACATGGTGGAGGCAGGGAGAGAATTTTCCAGGGACAGCCCCTATCCCTATTTTACAACTCCTCTTTCATTGTCCTAATTCCTAAAGTGGATCAACCTGGAAGTTTTGACAAGTTCAGACCTATCAATCTATGCTCATTACTTTACAAAGCCTTTTCAAAGATCCTTGTCAAACGATTAACAAGACTGCTACCAAAGATTCTCTCCTGAACAGGGCGCATTCATTCCAGAGAGAAGTAATTTCGAGAATATCACCCTTACCCAATAAATGGTCCACTCTTTGAATAGAAAGACCAGAGGTGGTAACGTTGTGCTAAAAATTAACATGGCAAAGGCTTATGATAAGGTAGTTTGGAGGTTTTTGCTGCATGTGCTTGATGGATTTGGCTTCTCTAGAAAGTTTCGTGATTTGGTGGCGAAGTGTTTCACAATTCCTTGCTTTTCTATAATGATGAATGGGACTTATAAAGGTTTCTTCCAATCAAGTAGAGGACCAAGGTGACCCTTTGTTCCCTTACTTGTTCATCATTATGGAAGAGGTTTTGTCACGCCTTCTGCACAAGAGATTTGAAGATGGTAGCATTGGGAGGTTCTACCATCCTGTTGGGGCCCCTTTGGTTTCACATCTTCTATATGCAGACAATGTAGTAGTGTTCAAAAATGGAGGTAGAAGATTGATGTAAAGGCTCGTGAGGACTCTAAACACATATGAAAAGTGGTTAGGACAATTGATAAATATTGAGAAATCGGTCATCCTATTCTCTAAAAGGATCAGCTACACCAGGAAAAGGGGCTTACTTCAATTAACTCGTTTTATTGAGAGACATTTTCTAGTGGTTTACTTAAGAGTGCCAATCACCTCTGGTTGAATTATGACCAAGCATTTGGAGGCTTTGGAAGCCAAAATCCACACCAAGATAGCAGGTTGGAAAACAAGGTTACTTTCTCAAGGAGGTCACCTTATTTTAGTCTATCATGTTCTGTCTTGTATGACGACGCATTTGTTAGCTGTCGTTAATGTGCCAAAGATAGTCCTCAACAATATGAACTCATTAATATCCACATTCTTTCGGGGTGAGAGTAATGGAAGATAGAAAAAGAAATGGCGTGCCTGGTCTAAAGTATGTTTACCAATTACAGAGGGTGGACTTGGAGTATATAATTTTGCGACAGTTCAAAAATCTCTCCACATGAAACTTGGATGGCGGTTTATGACTACTACCAGTTAGTGGTCCAATTTCTTACATGCCAAATATGTAAAGAGCGGACACCTCTTGCTCAATTCTAATCAGAAGGGTTCTAGCTTGTGGAAAGCAATTGTAAAGGTCCTACCTAAGGTACATGAGAATTCGAAATGGAGGATCAAAGAAGGATCGGTATCCTTTTGGTATGATCGTTAGTTAGCAAGTGGCCCTTTGAGTAAGCATGCTTTGGAGGAAATTAACCCAAGACTATGGGTTAAAGATTGCTGGATAGAAAATGGCTGGGATATCACTCACCTTAAAGAACTAGTGGGGGAGGAGAAAGCAGTAGAAGTAGTACATACCATTGGGGCTTGAAAAGAGGGTAGCAATCTGATTATATGGAAACCAAATGGCAATGAAGAAGTCTTTTCTTCAAGTGCCTGGGATATTGTAAGAGTGAGAAGTCCAAAGATTCCTTGGATGAAATGGATATGACATAAATCTCTACCAAAAAAAGCTTCTGTTTGCATGTGGAAAGCTAAGTTTAACAGCTTAAGTGTGGAGTCTAAGGTGAGAGAAGCAAGAGTTTGCTCTTGTCTCACGTTGTGATTGTTTTGATAAGGGACAAGTGGAAACACTTGATCATGTACTCAATGCTGGGGATATTGCTAAGGCAGTTTGGAAGTGGGCTTCTTTAGCCTTGGGAGTGCACTACGGGGAGGCACAATCATGGTGGACTAAAATCAACAGATGGTTTACATGTGCAAGAAAAACCTCACAACATGGTATTTTAATTGGACTTTTACCAAGCTTGATAACATGGAAACTATGGGGACGTCGTTGCAAGGCACGCATGGAAGGGGTTCGAGAATCTGTGAAGGAGGTCTGATTTGCAATAAAGGTTTGGTTGCGCCTTCTAGCTGAAGGAATAGACAGAGTTACAAAGCTTAGCAAAACAGATTATGAAATCCTCAAAGCTTTAGAGGTGCCTATATGTGCTAAGGTAAGTAAGCCGACTCTACTAGTTTTTTGGAGGAAACCTGATGTAGGTTGGGTAAAACTTAATGTAGATGAGAGTTCTGCTGGGAATCCCGGACCTTTGGAGGTGGGGGAGTAATCAGGGATCATCAAGGTAATATAGTTGCTGGTTTCTTTGCTTCATATGGGTATGGTAGAAACAATGAAGCAGAATTGTAGGTCGTCATAACTGGGGTAGAGCTTTGTAAAGAGGTAGGTTTTCTACATGTACAGATAGAGTGCGACTCAGCAGTTGTGGTAAATTGGTTTACAAACTGCCTATGTAGAGTTTGGTACTTGTGGGATTATCGAGATAAACTATTAAAATTGCTTAACAGCATCAGCTTTACTATTTCTCATCAGTATAGAGAAGCAAATAGAGAAGTAGACCTTCTAGCCCGACTAGGGGCGGGCGGACTCACAAAAAGGTACATGCACCTAGATCAAAGTCCTAGTTTGTTAAAAGGTATTATACATATGGATAAACTTGGTTTTCCTAACATTGGGCAACAGCAAGGACGTTGTTGTGGCAGTTTTGGCTTTACTAGTGTCTTGATAGCTAGTTGATGCTTATTTTGTTTTGTTGAATTTGCTACCATGATTTTCTTCCGTCATAAGCAAGGGATGATTGAGTACAGAGTGAACTCGTCCAAAAAGAGAGAGAGAGAGAGAGAGAGAGAGAGAGAGAAAAGAGGGATGATCCATTGTCGTAATGACAAAACAACATTATTTTAATCTTTATATGTTACAACGCCAATGAGTTGATAATCATTCTAGCTATGATTTTGTCTAGGCTAATTATGTTTATACCATAATTTTTGTTTGTTACACAACATTTTGATTGTAATGAAAATCCCTTGGCTTGCTCATTATCACACTTCTAGTTCTAATTTTTCTTGTCCATTCTTATCATTAATTTTCGATTAATTGGTACGTCTTGTCCTGATAATACTGTTTTTGTCCAACAATTCTTTTAGTGTGGTTTCTCACTGGGGATAAAATATGTTAATTAATGGAAGATTAATGATAGTAATGTGACGAAAAAATGTTAGAGACTTACACAACAATGGGTAATTATATTCACACAACAGTATTTTATAACTACACCACATTTTAGTTACAAGAAAGGTTTCTAATATTTGCTCAATTTTGATTTTACGTCCTCAACATTTTTTCGTCTTATTGTCATTCTTAACATTCAAATAATTAACATATTTTATTGCTAATCACTACTGTCATCAAAATATTATGCTAATTTGCATTTCAAAGATGGGCAAATATTTTGTTTGACTGTTGTATTAGTTATTTATTTCAATTTTTTAAAACACGATAGATAAATATATCTTTTTTGCCTTCATAACAAATATTTTGGATGAAAATCATCTTTATAAATAAGATGTGAAAATTGACAGAGGGTCGATGATAAATTTTAATTGAAAAAAGTTGAGAACGTAAATGATAATTTTTATTTGAAAAAGGTTGAGAACATAAGTGTTAAAATAAGAAATGTTTAGGGATATTTATTTATTGTAATTAAAATGAGGTATAATTAATAAAAATTGTGGTATGCATCCTCTTTAGGGTTAAATTCACCAATATCTCTATGGCTACTTAATTTGATTTTGTTTCACCATGATCATCAAATTTTATACCTAGTATTACCATAGCCATCGGACTTTATATTAATTCTCCATGGCCATCTAATTTCATATAACGTTTTACCATGGTCATCCTACTTTTTACCATTTTCACTAATTTTAAAGGGAGAAAATTGTGACTTTGCATTATATATAGAATAAAATTTTTTTTTAAAAAAAGTTTTTTTTTTAATTTTAAGAATCTTTTTTAAAAATTAAGTTTTTACTTTATTTTATTTTATTTTTCAGGAGTAGATTTTTTTAAATATTTTTTATTTTATTTTGAAAATGTTTATTTTTAAATAATTTTTATTTTATTTTATTTGGTAAGGAATTTTTTAAATAACTTTTTATTTTGTTTTATATTTCTAAGTAAATTTTTAAATTTTTTTATTTTTTTAACTTTTTTTTTAAAAAAAAATAAGTTTCTAGTTTTATTTTTTTAAAATAAGTTTTTATTTTATTTTTTAATTTATTTTATATGTAAGCAAAGTTACTATTTTATACCTTCTAAAGTGGTGAAAAAAGGTGAAAAGAAATTGGATAACCATAGTAAAATTTTATATGAAATTGACTAGTCATAGTGAAAATTTATATGAAATTGGGTGATCATGGTGAAAGAAAATCAAATTGAGTATCTTTGATGATACTAAGTATAAAGTTGGATGGTCACGGTGAAACAAAATCAAATTGGGTGGGCATCATAGCATTAAGTATGAAATTGAGTGGTCATCGGTGTATTTAACCCATATATTCACCCTAAAACAATTAGCAAAAGTTGGGTACCTTCATTAATACAATTGTCCTTTAATCTAAGCTATATCTAGATTATTCCAATTGTACCCTTTACAGTTTTGATTCAATTAGTTGACGTGTATCCAGAAATTCAATGAACCAGTTTTGTTGGGGGAAAAAAGTTAAACGCAATTTAGGTTCATGTATTTCAAGTTGAACAAAAGAGAGAAGTGGCTCTATACAACTATTTCAACAGTGTTCATTATTGTAAAGAGCATCTTTTTTATATGAAGAGCGTCTTGAAGAGTCTTTCAAAATGAAGGAATCTACGATACTTTTTACATTAATCTTCATTTTGATTTTTCTTATTGAGTAATGTTGAAAATGGTTGATTGCCTCACTATTGTGACTTTGATCGGACTTTTGACTATTCTATTTGAATCGTATATTGATGAAATACGATTTTGGGCTCATGAATTGGTGGAATCTAGCCTTACAAATGTGAT